ACTCTTTCCCTCCCCGTTCCTTACCTCATCTCATAAACCCTTTTCTTAGGTTTTTTTTTTCCCTTTGCTCTTCTCTACCCACTGTGCTAGTGGKGGAGAGCAAATAAGCAGGTTCAGAAATACATTCCCCATTATAATAATAGTTTCTGCCCCATTTTCAGWYACAATCCCAGCCCCACTGTCTATATCACAGGCTCACAGTCATTTCAGATTAAGCTTTGCAATGCCTAGCACTGAGGCAGTCAATAGGCCAGCACTACTGGCCTCTCAGGTTCAATCTCACAGTCCCTTCCAGAGGTCCACACAATCCCATTCTTTCTATGCCATTTTAAAGCCCAATCTCACCCGCACAAGCCCTATCACAGGCCTACCAAGATTGCAGCTCCATTAAAGCTTGATTTTAGCTCTACTAACCAAACTTTTCAAACCGTGGAAGCAGTTTTTTTTCTTTAGGCAGCATCTGTTACACCGCAACTGCATTGCTTTAAATTGTTAAAACCTTATGTGTTTTSATGACAGTGCTACTGCTTTTTACACTGCAAACATTGATGATACTGACATCAAAACTCTTGGACATTTCTCCAAATACTTCAGTATATACCASAGATTATATAAGGTGTGTAGCCTTACACCTGGACACAGTTCTTACTTGTATGTAGAGGAAGAGCATGTCCTGGAATATCCAGGTACAGCAATTTGGCTTGGAAATGGGCTAAGAGAAAAATAAAAGAATGCAAGCTTACTAATATTTTAACTGACATCTTACAGCAAGTGCATCGGTCCTTTTGCTGAAGGAAGGATAAGCGTGTGAAGCTTCCTCCCCCATGCCCTCGAAAAAGRGGGGTTTAGCCTTTGTTTACTGATTAGGGTATTTTAATACATTACGGTTATTTTGATTCTGATACAAGACATGGACAGCACAGCAGGTGTACCTTAATTTCTGCTACAATATCACTGAGTCGTTTTCAGGTTTTTTTCCAAAACTGTCTGTGACAATTGTGTATTCTGGGGGCAGGTTGGGGATTACTCCAGAGAAATTAGGGTGGGCTCTGGCGATGTCCGGGGGAGCTAAAAGGATGGCAGGACTCCGCAGTTCGAATAAACGACCTTTATTGAGGAGGGAGCAAAGGATACTCGCAAAAGGGCAGAGTCCCCTCCATCACAGCCCCCTCCTCATCTCACAGCCCGCCCCGCAGCAGGCCCCCCTGCAGGGGCACCCGCAGCCCGATGGGCGCAGGGGCGGGGGGGGGCTGTCCCCGGGGCCCCCCCAGGCTCCCTCCCCGAACACCCCCCGGCCCGCGCGGCGGCGCTTCGGGGGCTGGCAGCGGTGGCTGGGGGCGAGACGCGACATGTCGCGACAGRCAGGGGCGGGGTGAGGCGGGGCGCGGTGCAAAGCGTCGGGACAGGAGGGATCGCGATGGACGGTGCGGTGGCGGAGCAGATGGGGACGGAGCGGGTCGCGCTGGGCTGTGTCGCGATAGAGCCGATGGCAGCAGCAGCGTGACGGTTCCGGGTCCTGGGGGGCTCCGGGGGGCTCCGGGCTCCAGGGTCGGGGGTTCCATGGGGGTCCAGAGGGGTCCCGGGGTGGTGTAGGGAGGCCCGAGGGGTCCCAAGGCGGCTCCAGGCTCCAGAGTTGGGGGGTCATGGGGGATCTGAGCGGGTCTAGGGACACCCGGGGGGAGTCTGGGGAATGCCAGAGGGGTCTGGAGGCATCTGGGGATTCCCGGTGGGGTCTCGGGGGGCTCCAGAGGAGTCTCGGGGCGTCCAGCAGAGGCATGGGAGGCTCTGGGTTCCAGAGTTGGGGAGTCGGGGGTGTTCTAGGGGGGTTCGGGGCAGCCTTTGGACTCCATGGTCTGGGCTTCCATAGGGGTCTGAGGGGGTTTGGCGGGTCCCAAATAGGTCGAGGGGACGGCAGGGGGGCTCTGGGGGCCTCAGAACTCCAGACTGGGGGGCCCCGGGGTAGTCTGGGGAGGTTTGGTGGGGTCTGGGTGAGGTCTGGGAGTTCCCAGATGGGTCTGGAAGGAGTTCGGGGTGGGTCAGGGGAACCCCAGGACAGTCTGAGGGTGTCCTGGGGCACCCTGGGGTGATCCAGAGCGTGCCTGGGGTTCTCCAGTCTCCACTCTTTGGAGGTCTGAGGGGGTCTAGGGGTGGGGGGGGGCCCGCGGGGATGTCTGCATGGGGGGAGTCCCCAGGGTGAGGGGTCTAGGTTGACGGTGGGGGGAGTGATGTGGGTCCAGCCTGTGTCCCCTCCCTCCTCCTGGGGGGGCTGTGGGGACTTCCAAAAGTGGGGGGGGCCCGGAAGGAGCCCCTCGAGACCCCCCCAATTCTGCCCAAGACCCCTGGGGGTCTCATCCTCCTCAGCCGAGCTCCACGAGAAAATGGTCTGGGGGGTGAGGAGCAGGTCAATTGGGGGTTAGGAGGTCAACAAAACCGCCAGGATCCCACCCCAAAACTGGGGTGGGACCCTCCCCCCCGAAATTTCAGACTCACCTCCCGCTCTCTGGGGGCTCCAAAAATGGGGCTGTGGGTACAGGGGGACAGTGGAGGCTGCAGAGAGTGGGGAGCAATTTAGATTAAATTTTGAGCCACTTTTGGGGTAATTTGGGGACAATTTTAGGGCACTTTTGGAGTATTTTTGCAGCACTCACCCTATCGACATCATGCAGTGGGCCAGGGGACCTGACAGTGAGGTCCCTCACCTCCCACTCCACCAAACTGACCGCTTGTCCTGAGCGTCCTGGCCTGGCCTCCCACTCGGGAATCCGGAAGGTCCCTTGACCTGCGGGGGGCAACGCAATTGATTTGGGGGAAGTGTGTGTCTCTGGTGGCCCCCCTTGGGGCGTGGGCAGTACCTGGGGGCTGAGCCRGGGTCCGGTGGGTCAGAAAGACCCCCAGGTCAGGGGGCCCGTGGTGGTGCCGCCTGAGGGCAGCCGTGAGACTCCGACGACGCTCGCTCACCAAATTCCGTCCCAGAAATGCCCCAGAACTCGCCAGGAGCGAGGCCAGACTCACCACTGCCTCCTTCAGCACCTTGGCCGGGATCCCTCCGGCCTCCCCCTCCTCAATTTGGGGGATCGGGAGGGGTGCATCCCCACCAGGGCCAGGGGTCAGCAGGCGCCGGACATCGAGAGACTTGACCTCACGGTTGAAGAGGCCGCGGTGGCACAGCCGGTTGTGAGTGATCACCACGGGTTTGGGGGGGCGCAGGGGGCTCCCTAAAGAGAGGCCCCTCCACAGGGTGGGCTGCAGCCAGCGGGGTGGCGGAGCGAGACCCCGCCGGGAGCCCCCCAAGGTGACCTTTGGGCCGAATTTGGCCACATTGCGTTCCCGCTTGGTCCGGAGGCGTTTGGATTTGGAGCGGGTGGGACCGCAGACAGGGTGGTGATTTTGTTGCGGGGGGGCCCCAAGGACCCCCCGGCGCTGGCTCATGATGGYGGTGGCAGCAACTGGGAAAAAGCTGAGAAAAGGCAGGTTTTTTGAGGGGTTTTCTCCCTCAGGAGCCCCCCAGAATCCTCATAGCCCATGTGGGACCTCCTGATACTCACAGGACCCCATAATTCACCCCCCCCAAGATTCGCTAGTTGCCCCCCAGAATCCCCCAAATCCACCTCCGATCCCCCTAGTGTCTCCCATTCCCTCCTAGAATCCTCTGAGTACCCCCAGGACCCTCGGGTCTACGCAGCATCCCCCAGTTCTCCCCCCTTTTCCCCTCAGATTCCCTTCAGTATCCCCGGGACACCCTCGAGGGCCCTCAGATCCCACTGCGGCCCCCAGTTTCCCTCAGATCTCCCCCCCAGAGCCCCCCATTCCCTTCTAGAATCCACATTCCTCCTCAGGATCCCCTARAACTCACAATCCTCCCAATTTTCCCCAATTGCTCTCCAATTCCCCCACCGGCACCGAGGCCGCGCCCCCTCACGCGCCAGTGGGCGGCCGTTGGGCGGCGAAGGCGTTCGAGTCCTCCCGCACTTCGGTCCCATTGGTCCGCGGGAGCCGGGCTCGGGCGCTGATTGGCCGGGGGTCCGGGGGCGGGAAAACAGCTCTCCGAGGGAGGGGCGGGGCCGCCGTGAGGGGGAGGAAGGGGGCAGATGTGAGGGACAAGTGGGGGAAAGTCGGGAATAATGGGTGGAAATGAGAGAAACTGGGAGAAAAGGGGGAAAATTACGCACAAAAAGGGGGTGGCGGACATGGGGTACAATGACRGAAATTTGAGGTCACTGGGGACAGTTGGGAAATGGAGATTATGCTGTAAAATGGGAAGAGAAGGGAGAAAATGGGAAATAATGGGGWGATACATATGGTTTATATCAAACTGACAAGGTGCTTCTGAGGCCTATTAATTGAAATACTCCTACAGTTTTTTTATACATTATCAATATGAGAATATAATAGRTTTTTATGTACTACTAAAATACASTGTCATTGCTTYCAAAATATTATCAGTKATAGCCTTTTAATATATTGCYATCACTTTCTWCAKAGTGTATTAGCAACATATAGTGTACCAGCTGCACATAATCTAACCAGGTGGATTAGTACATAGATACATGAAAATACCAAGATGTAGAAATCAGAAAAAGTTCTACAGAAAGTAGACAGGTAGATGCTATAACAGAACAGTGGAGAGCAATAACAAGAACTTGGCAGAGACACGGCATAGGCAGCAAAATAATTKAAAATGAAGACTAGGAGGATTAGAAAAAACCCATGCACATCACAACTGCACGTGCCCCAAAGACAAAGGTAGAAAGTCCACCGTGATGAACAGGATGATCTCTCATTAGAGGGAGACCCCCGCRACCCCCGAACTGAGGATGACGCACGCACTGGTTAAAGTGTGATATCGTGTATTTCTGTGTCCACGTACGGTGGTGGGTGTATGGTGGGCATATGGGGGCACTGACAATGGGAATGTTACACCKTGCTTRCTGKATAAATAAWTATGTGCTAATTTGAAGGCAGGTAGGTTAGGAGGAAAAATCCCCCTCACCTCCAGCRCTGCAATAAACAAATACCTGCTCATAGACGGCGGGCTATGGACTTTTATTTCCAGGCCTTTTTCAGGCATCAGAGGAAAAATGGGGACAAGGAGGGAATATAAGAATAGTGAGGGAAAGTGGGTGTTAACAGGGAAAACTGGGGGACAGTAGGAGAAAACGGGACATAATGGGATAAAATTTGGAATACTGAGGGAAAACTGGGAGACAATTTGGCAGGAAATAGAGGGGAAGTAGAAATTGGGGAGAAAGAAGAGAAAATGGGGGATGATGGGGTWAAATGGGGAAAACTTGGAATAAGGGGGGAAATGGGGGATAATGGGATAAAATGGAAAATTGTGAGGCAAATTGGGTAAGGTGGGATAATGGGATAAAGTGGGAAATTGTGACGCAAATTGGGTAGGGTGGGAGGAAATTGAAAATTTGGCTTAATGGGGAAAATTAGGGACAACGGGAAAATTGAGACCTCATCCTCATTACTTGTTCACAACTTATTAAGAATTCATTAATGGTTTATTAGCAATTTATCAGCTSCACACAAGGAGGGGTCTCCCAGTAGCCCCCAGACCCTCACCAGCTGTTTTTGTGGAGAGAGGGGGGTCAGCACAGCCTTGAGTTACCAAAGCAAAGCCTTTGCGGGGAGGTAGGGTGCACACAGAGGTTTGGAGAGGGGTCCTGTGGGACCCCGCCCTTTTTTTGGGGGTCTTTTAGGGCTTCTCCAGTAGGCCATCAGCAGCAGGAGGGGTCCCCACATCCTGGTAGGTAGGTTGGATCCCACGGGAAATGTCCTCATACATCGAGCACTCATCCAGGTTCAGCCCCTGCAGAAAGGGAAATTGGGGTGGGGAGAGTGGTTTGGGGGTGAAGGGCCCCCCCAGCCCCTTTTTTAKGGGAGGTCAGGGCCCCCCCCCAGCRCACCTCATAAAGATTTKCCTCCTCACAGGAGATTTTCTTGGGCTGGAGGAGCTGTTCGTTGGCCCAGCGCTTCTGGGAGGGTGGAAAAAACAGGGTAGAATCAGGGTTGAGAGACACCCGAGGGGATTGCAGTGGAAGTGAGGGGGATTTGGGGTGCTGTGGGGGAATTGGGAGTATCTGACAGGGAATTGAGGGTATCTGGGGGAGAATTAATGGTGGCAGCAGGGCTGTTTAGGGGTACCTGGAAGGAGATTTATGGGTGCCAGTAGGAATCAGGGTTRACAGAAACAAAGATAGGGACACCAGGACAAGAACTGGGGATACCAAGACCAGAATTAGGAGCAGGGATTCCCCTTCTCACCCCCTCCTCACCCTGAAGAGCAGCAGCAGCCCTGGCCCCGCAGCACAAAGCAGCAGCAGCACSCCCTGCGCCGTCAGGATCCTGTTCTTTGTGGACTCCCTCAGGTCCAGGAACGGCACATGCACAGGCTCTGCCAGACCGGGTGGGTTAGCCAGACCCCCAAAAACCCCCCAAGCCCTCCCAAGAGACCCCCACTCACCACGAACCCTTACAAAAGTCCCACAGGACTGGGCAGTCACGTTGCCAAACTCCACACGGCAGAAGTAGAGCCCGCTGTGGTTGTGCTCCAGGTGCCAGAAGTTGAGAGTGGAAAGACCCTCACGCCGAACCACCTGGAGACCCCCGGCCCTGGCCTGCACCTCCTGGGGCCAGCTGCAGTTCCAGSTGTCACCACGGTAACGCTGAGGACATACCTGGAGCCAGGTGACATTGGCAGCCGGCGGCGCCCAGAAGCGGCACTCGAGGGTCAGGGGGTCCCCGAGGGCTCCGGAGCGGGAGGTGGGCACGGGCAACACGTGGACCCCTCCCCAGGGGCCGCAGGAGGGGTCAGAGACAGGGATGGTGGTCACAGCCAGGGTGTTTGAGGGGTCCAAGTGTGAGGAGGAAACCGAGGGGTTGCTGGGGATCTGGCTCTGGGAACCTGTGGGGGACAAAGAGGGGCTCATCGAGGGGTGATGACCGTGATGTCCTGTGGGTGGGGACACCACATGGATGAGACCAAGGGGTCACAGTGGCCCTGTGTCCTCACCAGGGGATCATGGCAGTCCCCCCCCCACAGGTGAGGGTCTCACACAAGGAACATGCAGGGCACAATGAAGGGGTCATAAGGGGCAGTGACGCTGCTGGTGAGACACTGTGGACCATGGACCCCCAGGGGTGGGGGGTTTCACATGGGGACCCACCATGTGACACCAGGTGGTCCCTGCAGCCCCCCCCCAGCACCACCCCTCCCAGTTTCAGTTCCTGGGGGAACAGGAAGTTCTGTGCAGGGCTCCCAGGGGACATGCTGGCACAGGTGCCTAGGAGGAAGCACCCAATGGTTCTGGAGTCCTCCAAACACCCCCAGCCAGGTTCAGGAGTCCCTGTGGCACTGCAGACCCCCTGTTAGAGGTGTGAAGGATGGGCACCAGTGAGACCCCCAAGATCCCCAGGGCCACACCGGAAGACCCCAGATGTCTTGAAACAATACAACCCAGAAATGAGACCCTAGAAACCTTGAAACRTCCCGGACCAAACCTTGAGACCCTGAAACCCCCAGACCCAAGCCCTGAGATACCTGGACCCCTAGGATCCCCTGACCCAAGTCCTCAGACCCTGGAACTTGTGAAAACCTCAGGCACAAACCCTGAGATCTCCAAAATGAGACCCCCGGGACTCCTGACACCCCCAGTTCCAAACCCTGAGATCTTAGGGATGCCTGAGACCCTCAGACCAAACCCTCACACTCCAGAACCCCTGAAATCCCCCAGATCCAAACTCAAACCCCCTGAAACCCCTAGACCCAAACCCCAATAACCAGCACCCCCAGGCAGTACCTGGGAGGASGAGGAGGAGGTTGATGATGAGAAGGGGGCTCGGGACCCCCTGTTTTGAGGGAGCTCCCCAGATTTTGGGAGCGGCTGCCATCAGCTGCATCTGCCCCGGCCCTGCAGGAGATTCACCCCAGTGCCCTGAGGGGAGGGAAATGGAGGGGCCCCGCCCCATAGTCCCCKGGGACATGAGGGTGGGGCATTAGGRGGGCAGGGGGCTTGASGAATTGAGGGTCTCAGTGTTGGSGTGTTGGGATTTGGGTCTGGGGTCTCAGGGGTRKGGGGATCTCAGTACTGGATGTCATGGTCTGGGTTTGGATGTTTCGGGACTCCTGGGGTCTCAGGATTTTGGGTCAGGGGATTTCAGGGGTCTCACACTTTGGGTCTGGTGTTCTCAGCCCTGGGCTGTCAAAGGTCTGGGGCTTTCCCGGTGGTCAAAAGGGTCCTG